ACAAATGGGTGGGAACACAGTCTTAAAATTATTCCCCTTGACACAAGTTTTCCAAAGTCATTAACCTAGACTATAACGATTGCCTCTTTATTTCACTACATGCTCTCTGCCCAACTGGAGACAGAGCCAGGATAAACTGTGCTGATGCTTCTTGATTACACCAACATCCCCAGAAAGAGGAAGCACCAGGGAGAGCCTTAATGTTGGTTCCTGTGCTCCTGGCCAGAGGGCTCAAATCCTGTCTGGAAAGTGCAGACATTCATGCACCTAACCTTCCATAATCTGACTGCTCTATCTCTTGTTAACTTAAATTAAAACATTTGTGTTAAGTGGGTAATTAGGGTCCTGGAATATTATGTCTTACAGTGTCAAATTGCTTTGCAGTCTTATTTTCCCACTGTTCATAAAGAGAGGAGCTTTGTGAAGGAGTTAATATTCCTTTTAAATGAATTTGCCTATACAAATTTGTAAGAGTCACTAGGCTATAAAACTCTGAACACTCTATGGTACCAGACACAAGAAGGTGGCACAATGCCATACAAAGCTGTGACCCTCTGCTAGGAGATTCTTTAGATAAGGAGACTGAGGTCTCCACCTTCACTGTCTCACAAATTTTTTTCATATCAAACATGTAGAGCTTCCAAGTAAAACATGCATATATATTTTAGATTTCAGCTCTGGAAATTCATGCCAGGATCTGAGAGATAAATGAGATTATTGTTGGTGTGTATAAGTATTGTACAGTAGCTAGATACATTAAATATCTCTATTTTCTGGTAATTATGTCTATGGATTTCCCAAAGAAACTCTAAACTCTGCCAAACTTTTCACAACTGTGCTTTAACTGGCATGTCCCACAGCTCCACTATAGATGTCTCCTCCTGTAGCTTTATCCGTGATGCTGTGTTTATAAGCTTGAAGAACAAGATCAATTCTTGCAGTGTTTTTGACCCCATTGCTGACAGAGGTGCCTCTTCTAAGGAAGTCTTATTCACACGGGAGTGTGCCAGGGAATGTGTTCACTTGGAAGTAAATAGAAAACCCTTTTCCCCTCCCTTACAGTTCTCACAAATAGTATGATCAATACTGGTGATCACATTACAGCAAATAATATGAAAAATATTTTGAATACTTTCAATTAATACTCCACTCAGGACTTGAAAATAGATCCAGCTGCAATTCATTCACTTCACCCTTCCTAATCCCCGAATCGTCACATTCCTCCTGATTTTAGTTTTATATATTTTCGTAACATTTGAGGAAAGTATATTTAAATACTGATTTGCTACTCAAAAGGTAAAAAGAGCACAATCTCCTTCGAAAATACTGTATGAATGGTGTGTTAACACAGCTTTCTTTCTCTGCAGTGTCTCAGGGACTGCTTCATTTCCAGTGTTGTTGTGCCCTTTAGTCCAAATAACATCATTTTCTTGTGTTTCCCATCTGCAGCACGATGGCCAGTAGCCAATCACAACGTTTTTCATTGAAATGGCAAGGATATGCTTTAATTACCTCCATAACAAAGACCTTGATTACATCTAAATTCCAGGATTCTGAAGGCAATTTTTTCATGTCTTGAGCCTATTTGTTTCTGACTGATTATCTCTTCGGCGTTAACCTTTCACTCCTTTGTATCCCAGACATCAACAGAACATCTTTAATCCAAAACGAAAATTAGGGAAAGTAACAAAGTCTTAAAAGGCACAGTTGAGCAATCCCTGTACAGCACAGTGCTTATCAGAATAAGCTTTTTCTCTGAGAAAATGTGAAAAGTGGTGAGGACTTCTTACAAAGCGCAATTGCTTTAATACCACAGCCTAATCCCCATCCCCAAATCGTTACCATCTCTAGAACTGCTTAGCCATATGTTTGCTGTCAGTGAAACTGTCCCAACAGGTGACAAGGTTTCTGTGTGAAACAGCAGCAAAGGCCAGGCGCTGGCCCCTGGATGGGTGTGAATTCACTTTGCAGGAGTACAGTTGCCCTCAAAATGAACTTATCTAAAACAGCCAAGCGAAGTTCAAAGTTGCTACCTAAGATATCAGCAGGGACAACGATTCCTTTGCAGGAGAGTCAGTGGCTTTGTCTCTCCTCTCTGCTCCACTCCGTGTGGAAAAGACCAAGGTGCAGGGTACAGTATCCCAGGTTTACCTATGCATCACAGGGAGATGTTTTCTATCACAAATTGCCAAACTCTGCCCAGTCCAAGGCAACAGCTACAGTAGCCGGTGTCCAGATGCAGCTTTTATTTGATTTCAATGCTCCCTGCAGGAGGACTGGGGCTGAGTCGGGCTCTCATCATGCCAGCTTGCTTCTCCTGCCCCAGGCGACAGCAGGCAGGGCAGAGGCAGGCAGCGCTGGCAGGTCGGTAGCAGCCGGAGGATGAATACCCCATGCAGGCATTTCCCACCCCCTCGGGAGGTGCTGGCCAAAGGAGATGTGGCAGAGCCTTACGGCTCTCGCAGAAAGAGTGACCAACATGAGAAGAGTGTGAGTGTGGCCCCCTAACATCAGCCAGGTTTTTGTTACCTGGGGTGGACAGTAGATCAAGCTGATTGCTTTAAATAATGCTGTTTATATGCTACCGTCAGGCTACCGGCATTTCTAGATGAAGTGCATACACAAGCCAGGGAAATGGCAAATGTACTTGTTTATCAATGTGAAAGCACAGTTCAAGACACAGGCATCATACCACAGTCTATGTGTTCTTTCCATAAGCATCTGGCCCATGTAAAATGTTTAGGAAAGATCAAAAACTAATTTACAGTATAACATAAAAATGACCTTGAGACTACACAATTCATATTCCCCCTAAATTCTCCTGGAGACCCCAAGGATTGCTTCACAGACACCGGTATCCCAAAACGCTCCATTTTAGTGCTGATTTGTACCACCTGCCTTATTGTTTTTGCCTTCAGCCCTATCAGTTCTGTTGCACTTTTCCTGTTTTGGAAAGTCTCCAGCTTTCATGACATTTTAAAGTGACCTTTGTGTAGAGTGAAAGTGCCAAACACTAGGCTCTTAATAGCATATCTGCACTTTGTTAGGAACTTAAAAACCCAAAGCTATCATTATAATCTCTGGGAAAATAAATCACATTTAAAGTTCCATGAGGAGAAGAGGAGAGAGATGAGTTATGTCACAGAAAAGGGGAAGACAGTAAATAAATAAACAAGGACTAGGTGAGCAGTCCTTTATTTTTTCTATTGTGACTATTTCCAGATCTTGAAAAATCACAATTTGTACCACAGGGAATGTTTATTTCCTTTTCACAAGGAAATAAAAAGCTGAAAACTGATATTTTATTGGAGAGGAAAGTTTTCCATTTAACCTCAGAGAAGCATTTACAGGTTGCAGCAGGAAAAGCAAAGGAAATACAGAGCTTGTTTGCAGCAACAACTACTCCTTTGCCTGCGGCCCAGGGGTGGGAGAGAATCTCTGCTTGAAAGGCTCCAGACAACTTCCACTTTCCCAGAGCCTCGCCAGGGTGGGCAGCTCCGGCAGCCTCGCTGGTACAGTGTTGCACTGCAATGGGAGGGAATGAAGAAGCTATGGAGTGAAAATCCAGATTCATAGGTCAGTTTCAGGCCATGGCAGACTCAGAGCTGTAAGAAATGTGTTTTCAGCTCTCTGTTAAGAGTCTAGGAGAATAAACTGGAAGCTCACGTACAACAAGAATTCACTTTGTATGATTGTTCTTATGGAAGCCTGGTGGATGATCTTCACTTTAAGTGATTACAATCTGTTTGTAGTAGAAGACACAAGGGGTATCATGTTGACTCCTTTCCTTGCTACAGTCACAGAAACTCTGACAGTCACAGAGGTGAATTTTAATGGTAAGGCTGAAGATGGGGAATTTATCCCTCTATCTAGGTTAGAGATGAGGATAAACTCTTCCGTAAAACTGCTGTCCATAAATTTCACAGCCTTCTCTCACAGCTCGTATTTTCCAGAATTCATCCTGTTTGCCTTCTGGCAGCTGCCTCCAGTTTGCATTTATATATAAGCTGGACCCAGTCTCTAGCTTTTCCAGTGATGGGTAGAGAAGAAAGGTGACCTTTACATTTTGCATTCAGTTATGATATCTGTCTCTTAACCATCTGCTTGGCCACTTCAGTTTAGATCCTGACCTGCAAGATCTCTCTTAGTCGTGAGAATTTGTCTTCTTGACTATAAAACCAGTAGGCAAAGGTTCACATCAGCACTTTAGCTCCTAACAAGTCAAAATAAACACGTGCGCCTCTCACAGTTGTTTTAACCCTACAGAGAAGGCAGGGAGAACTCTGCGTGGTGGCGTGGAGGCAATGACAAAGGATAAGATACTCCAGTACATGTGTTTAGCATGAATGTTGTGGTGTTACTGAATACTGTCTAATGGAAACAAAAATTAATAGGCTGCTAGAGTGCTTTTTGATCCAATAAATTTCCAGCACTCTGGATTTGGTTTATCTATTTTTTTCCTTATTTAAAAGCAGAGTAAGTGCAATGGGAGGAATGAACAGCTTAGCTGCTCAGCTGGGCTTGGTAGCAAACTCTACCCAACATAATCTTCGTGTGCTCAACTTTAAGCACATGATTAAATGCTGTGCTAGAAGTAGACTGGATTGCTGACCCCTTTCCAAAATGAAGCCCTCTAGCCGTAAGATTTCTGGAGTTCATTCACACCTGCTCCACACGTATTTTCAGAGATCAAGAGCTCTTTTGGCAGGGAAACATGCAATATATTCTGGTAGTTCTTTCCTCCAGTAGTTGTTCTCTTCTTGGTACTGAAAGGAGTATAAATATTTTTGAAGGAGAATGAAAAAATGATGTGGTAAAACCATAAGGCTGAAACAATAAATCATACTGAAAACTAAAAACTCTGGCGGTAAAAATGGTTTTACCTATAGGAACTATTCAGCAATAAAATCTTTTACAGGAAAGGTATATTGAATCCACAAGATGATAATTTTTCATGTATCAAGGAAGCAGTATTAATCCTCTCTCAGAGGCAGATCACCTGTGTTTAACTATTTTACTCAGAAATTATCCGACCTCTCATACAGACAGGAACAACAGAAAAGTAGTGCCATTCAAGATAGAAAACTTAAATCATTCATGTGGAGACAAACACTCTATTTTATGTGTTGAGAAGCTTTTATTGGATCACCACAATACTTTGGATTAGTTACACTATGGCTCTGAAATATCAAGTTATAATTTAGTCATTTTCCCAATAAAAGGAAATAAGAAAATAAAGCAGCACAGTGCATGAGGCTTTGGTCACTGAACTAAGCCGAGTTTTAAGAGCCAGTCCCAGTCCGGTGCAGAGAGGGAATTTCTTCACAGTCTTTCATAGACTCTAGTGCAGACAACTCCTTTCATGGCACATTCCTAAGGCACAAAGGAAAAGATTGATATAAACCTTTCGCTGACAGCCGGTGTGTCTGCTGCAGCAACTTCTGAAGTCAGTGAAAATCCAGATGTCATGTTCTACATCTTCACATAATTTTTAGAGCAAAGCTATATTAAGCTAATGGAGTGGTTTCTATTCTAACATCTTCAGACCTAATTAAGTGGCATATAATGACAAATAGATTGCAAAACTGGGCTCAGCATCCAGAAACAAATTTACTGCCCTGGGTATAATTGCTGGCTTGACAGAAATATCAGCATTACCTAGTCTATTATACCATGGCCCACGAATGCTTTCAATTTTAGAAGATTTTTTTTTTTGTGGAAGCAGAAGTAGCCTGGGTAGTTCAGAGGTCAGGCTTCTGGCCTAAAAACATTTCCACTTATGAGTGACAAAAAATTTCTCCTGACTGTCTTGTCCCAGTGGCCTTCAGCGGCTCGTGGTGACTCACAGCCATGAGGCGCATGGAACAGAGGTGACAGGACATTGAAAAATACCTCGTCAGTCTGCAAAAGCCAAGGCCTCCTCCACCAACCTGTGCGAGGCAAGGGGGAGATGGCAGGATGGAAGAGGGACCCCACCTCTCTGCTTTTTAAAGATGGTTTAATAATTAGAAAAAATCTACACAGAAATGCAGTCATGAGGAGATGCGGAAGCAAATCTCCCTTCGAAATGTATGAGAGCTTAAAGCAAAATGCAGTCAGAACAAGCTAGCAAGTAAAGGCATAATGCTGCGGATTTCAAACAAGTCACCAAAAGTAGTTTGGCTCTGTTCTTTAAAAGCTTTAATGAAGAAAGCACTTTCATTCAGAAGTGTAATCTTAATTTCAGTAGTGACCCTTACAACTAGGGTCCCTAAAATGTGTTATCACCCTGGTCTGACACATCTATGTCTTTCACCAGGGTTGAAGGGGGGATGAGGGGAAGCTGCCGTTCCCCCGCCCTGGGAATGCCGTGGTTCCCTCACCACAGCGGGCATTTCGGAGGAGTCATCAGGACTTGCTGCAGGTCACCGTGCGGGCAGGCCTGAGCACAGAGATGCTGGCTCTCACGCAGCAAACCTCAGGCACCTGCTTAGTGCGCTCGGCATGCTCACACGGAAAAAGCAAACAGAAGTGTGAGAACTGATGGGCTTTAGTGGAAGTAGATGTGTGAAAAGTTGTAAAATCAGTTTTCTACAGTGGACAGGCTTTATTCCAAAGATAGGGGAAAGGAAAGAGCCATTCCAGGAACAGCAGTACACAGCTTGCAAACTTTTATTCACATTTCACAGGTTTCTACTATTTGAAGATGTTATTTCTTTCAAGAATAATAATCTTGAGAGCAGTAATTATGCTGTCAATTTATGGCAGCTCTGCCAATGTAGTAACTTTAAAGACAATTTGCTGTATGGAACAATATTTATTTCCTTCCAGCTTGTTTCCTAAGCTTGGTTCCCTTCTTCTCCCTCTTAATTTATCTCATAAGTCAGAGAGAAATCCAAATTGGCAATCTATTTAGACAGAAGCAAACTGAAGTCTGCGTCCTTCTGACCTTTGTCAGCGTACAAGGAGTGTGAACTTACCACCACCATTTTCCCATCAACCAGTCTTCTCCTTATCGTGGTCTCTTTGCCATTCCACTTCTGCACTTGCACCAGTGCCCCTTTCTCCAAGGTTACAACACTCTGCAAAGGCCAAAGGAAGAGTTTCAAACTGCAGTCTGAGCTTCGCAGATTAGAGTAACAACTCACTATACGTTCAGGAAGATCTGCATTCTTGGGTAATGACGCATTTACTAAGATTAGTTTCAGCACCATATTCTTTCTTCTTTCTGTGCTTTCTTTGAATAGTTTGGAAAACTCATAGTGTACTAAGGGGGTAGGAAAAACTCCTCATATTACTCTTCTAGGAGATGTCCAGACCACTCAGAGATCATCAGCCCCCTTACCTTGACTTTCCGGTCATCTGCTGTCGTTTCATCAAACTGCTGGCCCAGTTTGAAAGAGATTGTTGTATTTTTGAAGGTGCTTTCAGTTCTAATCGTTACTATGTCCCCTTTCATACTGATGATCACATCAGGCTTTGCCAGGCCACCCAGTTTCCGGGTAGCTAAGCCCACTCCTAGAAATCAGAAACAAAATAATCAGTACATTCTAGCAAGCAAGAAACTCAGTATCCTTCCATAAATGTTCAGTGGAAGAATAAGGAACAGCTTCTTCTTGAATATTCTAGTGCCTAATTCGGATGAGACACTAATTTTTCAAATATGGAGGCACTGCACTCAGAAGCTGAGGCTGAGTGCACCTTCAGCAAGAAATGAAGATATACATGAGTATACACTTGTGTACATTTAGCTGAGAACAATCATAGACAGTTACAATCTGCATGAATTTGTGGTAGAGATAGCATGGGTAGAAAAATTCAGAGGAAAGCTGTATTCCTCATAAAGCTAGCAAAAATCCTTTTCTGAAAAAAATTCTTGAGAAATCTGAGAATCTGCACTTTTGTTAACCCGCTGTATGAAAGAAACTGGATGTTGAACTGCAAATATGCTGGTGCTTGTTCATTAAAACGTACTGGAGACCAAGAAATTCCTAGCATCCCTTAAGGACCCTTGCCTCTAAACCTCAATGAGAAGTGCAAGTATGAAATATAAAAAACACTGAAGTATAAGAGTGAAGCACTGCAGAGAACTTCAGGGAAAATCCCATGTCAAAAGCCTTTTATATTGGCTACTGCTTTTCAGTCCAGTTCATCGTCTACACATTGTGAGATCTGGGGCAAGTTAGAATGAAGACCATGGATGATGTACTGCTGTTTTATAAAAGCAGAAAGGGGATAGCTGTAGTTATTGCCTTTGTTAATGCTATGCTATGCTCAGATGGAAAGATCCATATAAAAGGATATAAAGCTATCTGTAAAGTATAACATTATTTGGAGCAATTATTCTAATCTGAAACAGTTTTGTTCAGATCTTCAGAAAAATATCTGTAGCTGGAATTTCATCCCACATTTACTCTGGTTAATTAATTAACTGCAGTTCTTTTATTACTCACTGTAACATTTCAGATAAAAGGAATCAGTGTCTCAGTGAATCATTTGTATAGCAAAAGAAATACTGTAGCTGACTGTCTGTGCACTTGCTACATAGGAATGAACCCAGCATTAAAATGAAAAACAATGCCTAATTTATTACATGCTTGGCATTCTTGAGTAACAGATAGATTCATTCATAGGATTTAGACCTCTGAAACCAAAGTGTCATGAGACATCAGCTCCATTATATATTGCAAATTATCACAAGTCACAAGTTTAATGGTGTAATTGAGACAAACATAAAAAGCCTGCTGCATCTCCACAGATTCTTCTCGTTACAGAAAAAACAAATTAGATCAGGTCAGTTCAGTTAGACAGAAATAAATTTATGACAGTAATTCAGCACCTGCTTTCTGTTTTTTCCATTTTAAATGCTAAAGGAAAGAAATGAAATTATGCTAGAAATGTAATCAAAGTGCTTTTGTGGCCAGGAAGCAGGCATCATCCATGACCAAAGCATAAGATGAAGAAGAGACATTCCCAAAGAAAGCTTATTAAAACAAAAACAAAACAAAACAAAAAAGAACATTTCTCACCCAGTTCTTTCATATAGTCATCAAAATTTTCACTGGAGACGAGTTTCCAGGTTCCCACAAATCGGTTACACATCACCTTGGCTTTGCGAGGCAGTGGTCCTGCAGAGAGTGACAGCACGGCTCTTGGTGGGAGTCAGAGGGATTGTGTGCCCGGCTCAGACCTTGCTGGCCTCCTTTTAAAGATGGCCAGTGTCTGCGGCGGTCCGGACGGGCCAACTGCAAAGGCAGTGCCAGGGCAGGACAATGTGCAACTTGTCCAAGGCGGTCGTGTCAGTACCAAGGCTCCGGGTGACGCCTGCCTCGGCTTCCTCCACTGAATAGAGCAGGACACGGAGCGGGGCACGTGGGGACGGGGAAGTGGGGCTACCAGTGCAGCCGCAGAGCAGTCAGGGGACACTGTGATGGGGTCCGAGCCACACTGAATCACCAATTATGAGTGCACTGCATCCGTAGGAAACCCAGCTCTGACTGTCCTCCCGGTACCATTCTCCTGCTGTCACCATTACCACTGCTGTCACCCGTGTGCTTGTCAGGTAAATCAAAGCCATGAAGATTTACGGGGGGAGAATGTCAAAAAACTGTTGTACATAGCGTCGTTTTGTTTTACTTTCATGATCCATTCTGAAAAGCGTCTGTGTTTTATCATTTAAAGGCAGAAGTGAATGATTCTGTCCTGTTTTCAGCCTTCGTGTCAGAGCAATGATCCCAAGCTGTGGGTTCTTCCCTGCACATACCCTAGGCAGCACCACAAAGAGAAGAGTCAGCCAGACTTCACTGCCTCCTGTCTTCCAGAACAGGGCATGCTCAGAAGATCACTGCGTTACTGGAGATCAGCCCTTCTGCTTGGCAGGTGGACGGTGAGAACACAGTTTGAGTCATTCAAGGTGTTATCCTCAGTCCACAGTCACATGGTGAGAGCAGAGCGGTTTAGTGGGCTGGGAGGAAGGCATATACCGCTCTCTTTTTGCCTTTCTGCACCTGGAGAGTTGCTCTGTCATAGAGTTAAAGGCAGATTTAAGCCAGTGCCATCATACAAGGCCTTGAATTCGAATAGGTACTACTATCATCATACATCTTCAAGTTTGCCCCCACGAAGGGCAATAGCTTCTTCCGTGCCATGTGAAATGGCGCATTTGGGCCAAACATCTTCCACCACCAGACAAGATGATATAAAAATCTGCCACAGAAATCCTTTCTTCAAGTGGCATTACTGAATGGATTAGAATGTGTCTGCATGCCTCTTTTGTTGCAACTTAAATTTTCACACAATGACAGAATGGCTGAGGTTAGAGGGACCTCCAGAGGTCAGCTGGTCCAACCCACTGCTCAAGAAGGGCCACCTAGAGTCAGGTGCCCAGAGGCATGTCCAGATGGCTTCTGGATATATCCAAGGATGGACACCTCACAAATTCTTTGGGTCCATGTCTGCCTTGTACTGGGGAGCCCAGAACTGGACCCAGCACTCCAGGTGTGGCCTCACCAGTGTTGAGCAGGAGGGAAGGATCATCTCCCTCGACCTGCAACAGTTCTCCTCATGCAGCCCAGGGCACATTGCTGGTTTGTGTTCAACTTGGGTGTCCACCAGGAACCCCAGGTCCTCTTCTGCAAAGATAAGTCTGAAAGTTTGAAAAGTTTGAGTCTGAACATTCAAAATCTTTTTTTAAAAAGAACATTTAGAAATATAGTCTTGTGTTTAGCAAAAACCAGTCACAAAGAACAAATCCATAAACCAAATGTATATTTGACAGGCAGAAATTTAAAGCATTGTCATTCAAGACAAACTATCTGAAACTATTTAGTGTAAGACCACATCAATTGTAATTGTGCCCTTCCCCTTCCTGAACCACGTTCCTGGAGAAAACTATTGCTTGCTGTATGAAAGGATTAGATGGCTTCTTTCCTGTCTGAATGAAAACTAGTTGCCTGTTTGTCTTTTTTTGCATGGTTAGACTTTTCTGCGTTACGACGACCTATAGGGGGTTTTCAGATCTACATTGTAAAGATGGAAGGATGCTGGAGTGATAGGTTGTGGGACCAAATTTCTTGTGTTCAGGGTGGAAAGATGGGTCTTGCCTTGAAAGCTGTCATATGCAGCAAGGGGAACATGCTGAAACAGGAAAACAGTACAACCTGGGCAGGGAAAATATTGTAGTCTTTGGAGCATACTGTGTTAATGGGGAAGTAACAGGGTCCTAAGTCACAAATTTTGATTGTATATGCAAAATGTTTTTATCCCATCAGTCATAACATCAACAAGAGTAACTTAAGCAGAACTTCCCGTTTCTGCTCAAGTCCAGTTACAGTGCAGCATAAGGAGGGAAAGTCTAGAGTGAGTGAGAATGAAAACAAAGTAAAGAAGAACTCTTTTTCCCCCATGGTAGGAAGCAGATGCTGTATCTGCAATAAGTAAATAAATGTCAGTCTTCGAAGGTGTTGTCCACACAATGCTCTTCTGAAGCAGAGATGCATTATATCACATTTTGTATACAGAACAGCTAGCTCTTTTATCCAATCTCTGGAAATGAGAGAGCTCCTCCTAAATGAAACTATCCATTATTTCTCAAGGAATAATAGGAAAATATTCTGCCTTTGCTCCTCAGGCATTCTTTGTTCTTTCTTTTAATTGTCTTATCCACATAAAGGCACTTTAACAAGACAAGGCCGGTGCCTTTGGGAAATAAAAGATTATTGGGACGTTGTAAAATCAGGCCCAGAGAAAATCAAGAAAAGCAAATTGGTCAGAATAGAACAGCTATACTGCAGTACCAGTAACCTTAAGAACAAAAGTGACAGAGAATTATCTATACAGACAAACCCCTAGTCTTAAGCAGGCTCAAACAATGTTGTCATTGCTACCATCTATCTCTTTGTCACTAAGAAAAATCAGCACTTTCATTTAAAGGACTTGCAGTCTGGAAAGAAGAGCAGAGAATTACATCCTCAGTAGAAATGGTATCTGTGGAAACCAATCTTTTCTTCAAATTTAAAGAAATAAAGGGGCAAGGATTGTGAGTATATGTGGTGAGAGGGAGATTTGATTCCCATTTTTTGCTTATAGCTGGAGTAAACCAAGATTTGAAATAAATACACTAAAAACTGATAGAGAGCTAGAATAGAGCACTAAAAATGTGAAGATACTATTCAAAGAAATAGAGAAAGTAAATTTATGTCAATTTCTTTAAAGGAAATATGATCTGGGCAAATTTAGTGCCAATAAAAGTCTAAATTAAATTCCTAGGAGAATAATGAAGAAAACAGAAATAAAAGCAGAGAATCAAGGTCAAACTTCTGCCTCACTGTGAGGACACAGAGGATGTTTTAACACTGACTCTATGGAGCTGAGGAATTCACTCCAAACACGGGGTTAGCAGTCTGCCTCTTCCCAACAACTACGCTGCAGGGTGTGAAAAGCCCTCTCTCTCCTTAGCTGGGGCACCCCACGAGACCAGACCAAGACTGCCAGGAACGAGGGAAAGGGGGGCAGCTCAGGGCAGGCTACAAAGCTTGACTGGCTGGGACACAAAAGTCCTATTAGTTCCTTCCAGTGGAAACAAAGAGTTAGAAGAAAAACAGAAATATAACAGAAAGGTCAAAGCTCAGGATAAGCCTTGCTTCATCTTTCTCTTGAGCTGCTAAAAATCTGTGGGTGTGAGTCCCCTTTCCCTGTTGTCGTCCAAGAAACCTGTAAAAGAGTAGTGAGCGAATGCGCTAACAGGCAAAGATCTCCTTCTCTCAGCACTCAAGGGTGCCTGCTGCGATAAGTATGTTGCCCATGGGGTTTGTAGAGGCTTGTTGAGGTCCTCCTTTTTCAGAGAGGAATGCTATGGGATGGTTTCTGATTTTTGGAGAATAGTTCTGCACTACAGAGAAGAGAGGGGGACCTGTGCTGGTCTGCAGGCGAGGACAAGACACTAATCTGCCTTTACCCCTTAGAAATGGGTGCTGCCACCTCCATCCAGGTCTAAGAGCACACACCTTTGTAAGAGAGGAATTATCTCCATTTATTCAGGAAGTCACTAGGCTTCTGCCTTTTTTAGAGAATAAATTTTGGCCTTTTTCAGATAATAAATTTCAAACATGTTCATATTCTAAGAAAAGCACCACTAATACTTCATTACGGTGCTGGCCCAGCTAAAGATTACAGACAGAATGTCACTTTATGGAAGTTTCCAGAAGCTGAAGTTTTAAGTGGTTTGATTCATTCACAAAGCCTGAATTCATTCACCACATACCAAAATAAATGGTGATGCTTTCAGAAGAGATTACCTGCCTCTGAAAAATCAGGCTGTGAATGTTACAATTGTAATTGCAGGCTTTATAAAGAATGTAAGATTTCTGGAAAATAAAGGCTGTTTTATGAATACTGAAATATTGGAAATCTGACCTCTGAAATATAGCATTTCCATATACGTGGACAATGGGATATATCTAACTATGGTCTGATCTTTAATGTCTATATATAGCTTATCTAAGTCAATGTTGTGGTTTCTTATGATCACCTCTCCCATGTAGGTTTTCTGGCACTGAACTGTGGTTTTATCTTGGCTTTTGTAAATAATTTTGGTTCTTGTTAAGTGCTAAGTAGATTTATTGTGTTATATATGGGGTACTCTGAAGCATACTTCCTTCACCTATGCAACTGCTGTTCTTTAAGCTAATGAGATTTAACAACAGATGAAGCCAAGGTAAAAACAGGGGAGTTGCTTGTTCACAGGTTTTTTAACACTTTCTGCAGAATTTACTGACAGTCTTTTGGAGCTGGTCTTAAGTGACTGCTTAGCTCATCTAGAGTGCAGAAGTCCTTCCTTTTCTTTTCCCCTCTCCAGCTGCATTAATAGTGCAGAAGCTTGGGAACAGTCTGAGTCATGCAGAGGAAAGTTCAAGTGTATGAAGTCTCTGCTGCTGGCAGCAAGCACTCAGCCCCATCGCCTCTGACAGCTGACCTCAGGAATGTCAGGAATATGTGGAATTTGGTTCACAGGTCTTAATTGCACAGCATGAGATATGCTCATTTCCCCATTTTGTAGTTAACTGCATACATTTTCAGATTCTTCTTGTCCAGGTTTTCCCTAGACTTTTTTTTTTTTTGTCCTCAGTTTGAGTCCTCCCAGATGTAGAAATCAGGGGTCCTGAGGCTTGTGTTCCCA